CGCATAAGGAAGGCTTCCCCAAGCTCCTTCCACGTGGTGATGGACTGTGCAGGCAGATCTTCGATCCACTCTTCTGCTACCCCAGCTAGAGAAAAAAAGGAACAGTCTTATCCTCATAGCTTCTGTGGATACTCCATGAACAACAAAAGTATCAGAGATTTTCATGAATTTTGTGATGTGCTTGTGGGGGTCTTCCTTGGGCAATCCATGATATTGAGTCATGGATTGCAGCAGCTGTATCATTCCTGGTTTGAGATCAAAATTCCCTTCCACTCCTGGCTAGACTATGCCAGGAATCACCCCATCGAGTGATGGAATAGCATATTCAGCAATGGGAAACTCTTCATCCACCATAACTAGAGCATGTTGCCATTCCTATTGCCATTGACGTTTTCTCCATTAACAGATCACTGGTTCGATTCTGCCATCTTCAATAATTCAACAACATATGTGTGTAATATTGCTGGTTACTGTAATTAGAATTGAATTCTGCAAGAATCTATCACGAACTTGAAATTGGAGTTAGCAGATAACAAGAAAAATATGTGAAAAAGAAAAGAAAAAAAGAAAAAAAATTAAGAATTCTAAAACAGAATCACAAAAAGAAAAATAAAATTAAACACAGCTCCCCGGCAACGGCGCCATTTTGTTGGTAGTAATTTTCCGAAGATAGAGTTATCGTTCTCAGGGAACAGGTTGAATTATTTTTCTTTGTATTTTTCTGAAATAAGAATTCTTGAATTGAAACTTAATTGTTTTTATAACAGAAATTTTTTTTATAGTTTTTATCAATTATTAAAACTGATCTAAAAAGTAAAGAAATGGTTTGTCAAAATTAAGGGTTTCTGGGTATATCTCAAATCATGGGTGACAAAAAATCTTTGCATTCCTGCAAAATCCCACATTGCTATAGCATCTATATCTCAATTTATGAGTTACTACAGCAAGTTTAGTTGAAGCTTTTCAGGTTCAAAAATAAGATTCAAGAAAGTCTTTTCCCAAAGTTTCCTCATTCTTTATAGAAATTTTTATCAGAAAACACCTCCGATTATTCCTAACCAATAGGGTTCATTTAATACTTAACAAAAGTCCATTTCCCAATTTCCTTTTGTTTAAATACTCAAGTCTCATTCCCATGAAGTTCTTGAGTTAAAAAGATAAAAGTACTAAACGAATGAGGATGAAAGAAACAATAAAAATGCACATCAAGGAATTTCACCCAATCATTTTGAATACCCAGAAAAAGAAAGGATTTAGAAACCCATTTTCAAAAACAGCAATTCAGAGATATCAGAAAAAGAAAGATGCATTCAGAAATAAAAATCAAAGTTAATCGTACAAACCAAGGTACCGATTCCTAAACAAGGGCTAGGATCTTTGAACTTCACTTGCTTGCAACATTGATTCTTCCTTCCGCAGCGTTGTCAGTGCTTTGAAGTTTTTGAATCTTGAAGAGTTTTACACAAGTATTTTGTATTCAGAAAACTAAAACTATGCCGAATTGAAAACACGATTACACACGTTCAAAAGTTGAGTTTCTTTTTAAAACTAAACTTAACAATCACAATCCTAATCTACGGTCCAAAATAGCTTTCATCTCTAGCTCAACAAGTTCATCCACGTGGTTGCTTCCAAAAAAAACCTAAAAAAAATGAATAATTACAATTATCAGCAAAAATAAATTAACTTGGGCTTGGTTACTTCCTTTTTTGAATTGGGCCATATTTCATATTCTTTTAGCCCATTTTCCTGTAATTGTCAACCCAAAAGATTTAAAATAATATAAAATAATAAAATAATTATATAAATAATTTAGTGCTAACAAGGAGTAATCTATGATGGAGGATCCAGAGGGGAAGATAAAACTGTTGAGGACGATGAGTCAAATGGAGTGAGGTTTGCAGTAGGGTCGGCACCTGCAACTGGTAAAGATAAATCAACAATGGAAATTGGAAGAATATGATCAATCTGTGACACAGAAGTGTGGGAACTAAAGAAGGGTTGTTGATCCATGAAGGTGAGGTCATGAACGAAACAAGTACACCTAAATACATGTGCAGGCATTGGATAGGGAGGTGCGCCTAGAAATAAGACATTGTGTGGGACTTCATTATTAAGCACGGAAGATGGCATGCAATGAGAAAACAAGATGTGAAATAGCATTTTCCCAAAAATGGAGTGGAACATACATATGCATGAAAAGAGTACGTGCAGTTTCAACCAAATGTCTATTTTTACATTCAGTCACTCCATTTTGCTTTGGAGTGTGAGGGCAGGTGGTCTGGTGTAACATCCTATCTTTCTCCAAAAATTTAGAAAATTCAAGAGACGCATATTCTTTCGCATTATCACTGCGCAAGACTAGAATAGAAGCACTCAATTGAGTATTAATCTCAGCACAGAAGTTTTTATAAATATAAAATAATTCAGAACGGTTTTTCATTAAATAAACCCAAGTACAACGAGAAAAATCATCAATAAAGGTCACAAAATACTGAAAATTCAAAACAGACATAGTTCAACTTGGACCCTAAATAGTATAATGAATAATAGAAAATGGAGTATCAGCTCTTTTATTAATTCTATTAGCAAAGAAGGAGCGACTGTGTTTTCCTTGTTGACAAAACTGAAGTTTAAAGACTGAAGATTGGACAAAAAAAGAACATATGTTGAAGCTCGAAGAGACTTGGATAGTTGGATGACCCAGGCAGCTGTGGATTAATTCAAGAGACTCCGTAAAAGAGCACGCCACTGGAGAATGAGGCACAGCCATATAGTAGAAACCTCGCGACTCATGGCCTGTCTTCCTCGTACCTTGATCATACATGGAGACAGATTAGTCAAAGAAGGTAATGATGAAAGAGAATGAATCAACTGGCTAACAGAGATTAAATTGAAAAGAATATCATGTATATAATAAACATAGGCCAGAGTCAAAAAAGGAGTTAGGTTGGCTTGCCCAATACCACGAGCAAGGGCCTTGGCGTTGTCAGCAAAAGTAACATAGGGTAGATTATTAGAATAAGTAAGTGAAGTAAAGAGATCCTTATTACTACAAAGGTGATCAGTAGCACCTGAGTCAATTATCCAAGGTCCAAGAGATGATTGAGAAAGACGACCAACATGATTACTAGTATCTTGGGCAGGAGTCTGGAAAGAAACCTTCTTAAGTAGAGCCTCGTAGTCTGCACTTGAAATAGTTATTGATCCAGTAGAAGGTGGCGTAGCATCAGTCTGAGCAAAGTTGGCAGTTGGTGGCTACAAGTAAGGGTACTTCCTGTAGCAATGCTCTTCAAAGTGTCCAAGGTTCTGAAAATAATTGCAATAAGGCCTCTGTCCGTGACCATCCTTCCCACAACAACGTCCATGATTGTGTCCACTATTCCAATTGGAATCATTGGCACGAGAGATGAGGGCAGTTGAATCGATTGCTGGTATATGCGCGGGTGCTGCTTTATCTTAAGGTTCATGAGACGCTGGAAAGTTTGTGACATGCTAGGAGTTCCAGCACTGGTTAGAATATTCTCATGAACATTTTCCAACTCTTCTGGTAGGCCAAAAAGGGTTAAAATCATAAAGAAGCACTCCACCTGCTTCTTGTACGCAAAACCATCTGCAGCATGAGGTAACATAGCTAGAAATTCTTGCATCAAAGAACAAATCTTACCAATATAAGCCTCCATTCGAGCATCTGGTGACTTGCGCAATTCAATTATTTGAGAAATAATGAAATAAAGTTGTTGAATGTCATTGGTGTAGAGGCTTTTGACTTCCTCCCATACGTCACAACAGGTCTCAAAGAAAATGAAAATATTTATAACTGCCGGATTAATGGATTGCCATAGGAGGCTCAGCAGTTGGGCATTAATCTTTTCCCAATTAGATTTATGATCCTTGGGAATATCAGCATATCTGGTCATAAGATGCTTCCTGTGTCCTTGACCAGTAAACCAGATCTTAACGGAAGTAGACCAAGTCTTATAAGTAGCAGATCAAGTTAGTTTCATCGTTGTAATGGATAGGACAATACCAGAGATAATGCGGGTAGTGCTTTTCGTTATATTACTTCAGCCCTCCATCACAAATTAGATAAAATAACCTGCAAAAATAGAGGAGACAACCAGAGAACAGCAAGGAGGCAAGAAAACGCACATAAAACATTGCGAAAAAAGTCTCCAAACAGCGGGATTTCGCAAATATCTTCCTAACGGATGGCACGCACAATAAACGAAGACCAGATCTAGAAAGAGGAGAAGACAAACAAGATGGTGGTGGTCCGGCCCAAAATAGTGGTTGCACACACTCACGAGCCGGAAAGGTGCAGACTGCACCGAAAACTTCCATCGGCGCGTCGAAGCTCTGATGGCAGCGCCACTTGGACAGACAGAGACGCCTCCTTGAGGCGGTTCTGATCACGTGGTTGTTTGCCTAAAACTCACTGAAAAAGTGCTCCGACTGCGATGAACAGTGGTTGACAATGGTTTTCTGACGATCTGAGGGTCAGGTACTAAAGATAGGTTGTCAGTATGAAACACAACACAGATGACTTGCCAGAATGATGCACGACAAGGATTTTATGTGAAAACGAGGTTTTCCCAAGACACAAGTTCAAATACCAACTTAAGAATATAAATGAATTATGTTGTATATTGTGTATACAACAGATACAAAGGTTTACAATAAATAAAACCTTAACGAGCTTAAAGAAGAAACCCATACCTAATCCTAAAATAAAGAAACAAATCATAAATACAAATAGTACTTTTATTTCTAACATACCAATTCAAAATAAATAAATTTCTTTCAATGTAATTTGGATCAATTCACATTTTGATTCGGTTTTTTCATTTGATTTTTCTACACAACCGGAATGATGCCTACAGAAATTCTGGCATAGGAATGACTAAAAATTTACTGCACGCAGCATATAAACCTTAAAAAGATCGCCCAAGAAAGACAAGTTCGATTCGGACTTTAGTTCATACTAAGCTTAGCTTAAATCCACACATCACACATCCAACAAGAACCAGCCAAATTCTCACTCCAGTCACAGAATTAATAGGTACAATAAAACTCAAGTGATAATGGTTTGATATTTCTATCAAGTAGTCCCTTATTCGTCATGATTTCTAAAAAACTATAAAGCAACCAACCCCGAACTTATACACAACTGGCTCAAGGTATCTTATAGAAGCTGCAGAGAGATTTACTAAAAGAAATCAGGACACAAACAAGCACATTTGTGTTTATCTCCGGCATGTGCAGTACATGATTCAGTTACAGAAGCCTGCTGCATAAACCCCATACGTAAATTTTTAAGAGTAAACAATATATACATTAAATTGGGTTTTGTATTCAATAGGCGTACAAGGAGGATAACCTTTCTTGCGTGACTTAACCCCCCCTTCATCCTGTTCACATCAAATAGCCTAACAAAAAGTAGCCAACATATAACTAGGAAGTAATAACTCCATTTCAGCTTTTGGTTCATTGGCCTTGAGCAGGAGACACTTGTTTCTAATGGGGGACCCAATTTTCAACGACGCTGTTGATTGCACATCTGGCATGTGGTGGCAGATTTGACATTTGCAAAGGTGCAATGCTCACAAGACCAATGATTATCATCAGTCATTCTGCTGGACATGTTAGTTCGAATAGTTCCCTTTCCTCTTCCACCTCTCCCCTTGCTGCTTCCTGCAGCATTTTTTGAGCTCGTTGCTTTGCTGGAAGCAGCTCCATTACTATCCACATCAGCTAAGCCATTCTCTAATGCCCTAACCAAATTCTCAAAGTAGTTTCTAGTCACACTGCCAAAACAAATGAATTATCAGATTGGTGTAATAATCAAAGTTACGATTGTAGATTTCCCACATCTAATTCAAAATAAGATGTTCATAGCATGTCTCATTTTCAGGAGAACTTGAGGAAAACAAAACCAATTTAAAGTCAAACTTCAATCAGAAACCCAAAAAATCACAAATAATTAAAATAAGAACGCAAGGCAAATACTTAACAAAACAGAAACAACATCTACCTGGTCAATCCAGCTAGTTTGGTGCGGAAGTCATTGAATTCTCTAGATGGGCCATCAGCATTGAGGAATAGCTGTAGTTCCTTTTCGGCACATTGATGAAGTCTCTCCAAACCAGATTCTGCCTCACCTGAAGAAAAAACAGAGTAGAGTATTATGTGTGTGGGGGGTACCACCACAAATGCAAGACATTTCTAATTAAATTCAAGTTGACAATAAAACCTTGTAAGTACTCAAAAAACTGCTTTTTAGCATGTTCATGCTCAGGTAAATAGTATCCATATGCATACGTCCACTTCAGCACCCGCCTGCATTCCACTATCTGCAAACATGAAATAGAGATTAGGAAGCCCTCTCACAACAGTGAAAAACATCCTCATCAAATGACCAGCATCAGATAATAGTTCAATGAACAGAAACTTCATTTGTGCCCGGGGGGACCTGGTTGTGAAGAAATGTCCACCAACGGTCCAAAAACATGTGTGAAAGATTCATAAAGCAATTCAAAAAATTTATAATTCAATACACCAAAACTATAAAATATTTACCTGTAACCAGGCCTCAGTAATGAACTTAAGCTGTGACTCAGGCTGGCACTGTGTGTCACTAAGCTTCTCAATCTGCCAAAGAAAAGGTCAGTTAGTGGACTATTTTACAATCCCTTGGAGCACATATTAACCTCTACTTAGAAGCACGGAAATGCCAGAGCAGTGCAGCAGAAGGTATATTTGGTTATGCCAGAAGGGAGTGCGGCTTGAGTGGGAAAGATGCTTAAATAAATAGGGAGAGGGCAGTTATTCATTTTCTAGTCTAGAGACTCTCAGGAAAGGGAAACCCTGGTGAATTGTTCAATCTTTTCTCAATAACAGACACTGCTATTCGTTCCTTTCCTGTTTCCATCTATGTTTTACTCATCTTCAGTTCTCAGCATTCAGAAGTCAGAACCCATTTTGGGGTTCGTGTTTGTAAAAGCTACATGGAATCATGAAAAGACTTAAGCCTTGCCTAATCATTTCTAGTCAAAAAAATTTGTTCCAAGGTTCGATTCTATATTATTGTATAAAGAATAACTTGAAATTTATATTTCTTGATTTATTACGAGGAAAAATAAAGAACTATTAAATTTTGCAATTTTATATTTCATTATTCCTGAAAATAGCAAAACATGCTTAAAAATCAGATTTAACAAGTGCCAAAAATGTTCTTTCAGTTGTCACAATCACTTACAAGCTATAAATCTGGAACAAAATTTATTTATTTTTGGTGGGGGAAGGGGGGGTGAAGAAGATGGCTGAACACAGCAAATGTATGTGTAACTTACATGAACATTTTGCATCTGATGTAAATCTGCAAGAGCTTTTTGCCTTGACTGCAAGAGAAAGAAAATTAATCATATAGCTTTTGAAACTATAATAATATGATATGTTTCAGTTTCACTTTCACTTTTACCCTTTGCTTTTTACCTATACTGTATACCGTTACTTAGTTAGGATCTATTACATTTTGGTTAGTCTGTTGTAACAAACTCATTACTGAGTCACTAGGTTCTGACTCTATATACATAGATTCAGTTTTGTACAAACCACTTTAATCAATATACAGAAATATTGTTTTCAGAAACACACTCTTTTCTCTCTCTTCCCTCTTTCTTTCGTTTTCTTTCATTTTCCATCATTCTCTTGAGAAACCATAGGAATTCTAGCAAAATATGAAATAATCAAGCAATGAATTCAGAAATTGCAGAGCAAAACAAATTAATGGATATATGACATTGAAGGGAAAAAAGTATGGAGTGATGCATACAGATTGGTTGCTGGCCCACCGCTCATAATAATGTGTGTACCTCTCCAACGAATTCTTTGCCATTTCTCTTCTTCTTTCAGTTTCATCATACTACATGCAACAAAGCTTAGTTCATAAGCAGATGACATTATTAAAATATATGTCGGGGGAATAGTGGGCTAATGGTAACCTGAAACCTGAATCAAGAGAAATTGAGTATTTCTATGTCCCTTACCACTCCCTCTTGTTTAGCAGCTTCGTAACGATTGCAAGCATAGAAACCGCCAGTCCTTTCACCATGGTCTGACCATGCACCAAGGCATAGCCTACGTAGACAAAAATATATTAAATTCACTTAACATCCATATGAGCTCAAACTAATTGAAAATAAGGTTAGCCATTAAGTTAAGGGTGCAAAAATATAAAAGCATCATACATCCCCGGGAAAGAAAATAAACCCACAATTTCCATGATACCAACCCTCCAACAATGTGATAGAAACTGGTTCAAGAATTAGGAAATAACAGAGAAGAAACTGAATCTTCATTCTATAGTCTCTTCACAGGATCTGAGGAATGACCCACAGTCCCACAGCTAGAGACTTTTGGAAATTTTACAATGGGGCTTTCCCTTTTCTCACTCAGTTCCAGGGATCAGAGTCCACCGCCCTCTCTAGTCTCTACTTTCAATACTGAATTCTTACCCACTCCTTTTAAATCTTTCATCATCCCGCCACGTTCCTCTATCTAACTACCTAACTAACTAGCTGCCACACTTAATTCTGTTGGGAATATTCTCCAACTAACTAACTGTCATTGACCCTATAATTCTCCCATTTAGCCTATGTTTGAGTAATTGGGGTCTGCTAACCCAATCATATTGAAAAGGGATAGGTTATTCTACCTGCCTCTTTTTCTGTCTACCTTTGCCTACCACTCTAAAATACCATTAGATCAAAATCTCAACTAATTTTTATCTTTCTCTCTCCTCTTGAGATTCTGATCTAACGGTGTTGAAGAATGGTAAGCAAAGGTAGGCAGAAAAAATGGTAGGTAGAATAGCCTATCCCCATTGGAAAAGGTGGGAAACAAGGAAACATGCAAAATAATCATGTTAAAAAAAGAAGAAAAAGAAGAAGCATACCAGCAAAATTCAAATTTACAAGGTGGAGTACATGTCATGTGCATGCACCCTTGGTTTTTTTCAATCGGTCGCTTGCACTTGGGACATGGCTTTGAGTTAGCAAGTATCCTGAAAGACATTCAAATGAACAGTTAGCTCAGGATCTCAAATCTTAAGTTTCCAAAAAGGACACACTATAGCGGTGTACCAATAACACAAGACTACATATCCTTGACTGTTAAAGAGAAGTTCAATACATGGAAGAAATTTAATTAGCATGAAGGAGATCAAGAGAAAGTAGAATCCTAATATTCCAAGGATTTAAGAACTGATCAGGTAAAATTGTAAAGAGTCAAAACATAAACTACACTGTTTTCTTTACTTTCTTTCTTTTCTTTTCTTTTCATTCCCTCGAATGAAGCAAGGGATCCACACTCCCTCAGCCATCATTTAACCTAATTCAAGCATAAAAATCTGAATGATTTTTCAATTCTTAAAGTTTCCCTATTTGAAGTGTCCATCTTAAGCATTACATCCATGCATTGGTGAAAGGAAATCTGTAGGAGCAAAACCCTTGTGGAACATTCTCCAGTTTCAATATCTATTATCATTACAAAGGCTTAATTAGTTTGTCAAAAATAAGAAAGTTACAATCAATCAATTAACTTCAACATTGGTTTCTCAGCTTGCCACCTGTATCCTTCATTACCAATACCATGTCTATAGCCATGCAAAATCCTCTGTTAATAAACAAAAGTAAAACATCCGTTGCAACAAAAACCACATATCTCTACATCCTCGCTTGATCCAAAGGGAGACCTCAGAATGACCAACTTCAGCTTACAACACAGAAAACAATACATACATGCATACATACATATTGACGTAAATACATTATGTCAAGGCACTAACAGAGATAGAACCACAGAAAACTACTTATAAAAACAGGAAACTCAACTGACCTTGACATAAATTAGGTATGGCATACTATAATTTCTATTGGAAACTAGAAGATGGACAATCGTTGCATGGCAGCAGACACACAAGCATTAACATCCCAAAGGAATATAGGCAAGAAAAATAATATCCAAAGATGTCAAAACGTATTCTGTACCAGTTCATGTTTTCAGATTCTGCACTATTTTTCAAAATCCATCTAGCCACAGTGCCACAATCCACTGGGCGGTGAGCCTCCTCAGTGCACTGTAGATCCAAAAACGTGTGAGTCAGCATAACAAGAATATTCTAAAATGCAATACTACAACAATTTGAAACAATCCATATGCGACTTACGTTCCAGCAAAAGCTATATGAACAGAGGCAAGATACATCATAATTTCCACTACCAGCATCAAAAGTAACTGCATATTCACAACCTGGAGCAGGACACCACTTGGTCTAGACAAAACAAAGAGAGCAGAAGAAATTAGATTATTATGACAGTCACAAATGATATAGAAAAAAGAGGTCAAACATACAACTCCATTTATAGATATCCTAAACGATAATGGTTCAAATAAAAAGCATAGGGCATCATCACATCATTTAGGAATCCATATTCACGTGTAGCCAGGTGGTAATATTGTGGTTAACACTCAATTCAACAACATGCAAATACGAATGCATAAAATGGGGCAAAAAAGTCCATAACAGATTGAAATGAAATTGGCAGTACAAATAAAGGTATAGATATTCCTTTACTATCATTATCAATGTCCATATTCAGTATCTACAACTTACCTTCTTATTGTCTTCAATGTAAGATCTAAGAAGGTAACGTGAGTACTTCTCTTTATCTTCATCAGATGCCAAAAGATTAATCATATCTTGACCAACAGCAGCACCACAAGAGGGATCAGGACATCTCAACATCAAACATCCCGGACCATCATTAATTGATGTGCCAATATATCCTAGCATGTCAAAAAGGAAAGAAGAACATGATTTAACAGAAAATGGAAAAACTGAAAGAAAGAATACTAAATTATACATGTATTGGGACTATATCATCAACAAGAAACATGAATCAGAGCACTGGATTTTGGATGTGCTCAGTAAAAGTATGCCCAAAACATATAACTTCATAATGATGTCCAGACCATATCTGTGGCCACAAAAGAACAGAAGGATAGCACACAAGTAATACCTGCCCAGCATGAAAAGCAGTAGGGATGACCGCAAGTAGCAGTTTCAATCCTAGCACGAGGATAATTTTCAAAACAGATGCCGCAAGTAAGCTGACCACAAGAGGGGAAAAAGTGAAATAAATGAAATATAAATGGAGCCCAAGCAACATGACAAGAAAATCCAACTATGTTAGTGATGTGTTATACAACACAAACGCCCATATCTCACCTCTCTAGGATTAGGAGACTGGAAAACCGGCTTCTCCAACAAACCAACTGCTTTTCGGACTTGATCTTCATCAGCAAACCATGCATCATGCACTTTACTGACACTCCTGCAACACCAAATCATCTCTCCATTAGTACATGAGTATACAATAACAGCCAAACCTTTACATACCACAAAAGGCACCATCCAAATATAGACACACAAAAATATAATGGCACATTAACACTACGCTGTTAAAAGAAAAAGAATTTACCAATTGTAATGACGAAGTAGGATGCTTGCAGAAACTCTTGGTATAGAAAGAACCGTTGCTACTCTAGTGATGTCATCTTCCTGCCTTTGCCGGATATCTGATTCCCTCAATATGGTAAAATTCAGCTGAAATCCAGACAGGGATCTGTAAGTCAGAGAGGGGGTAATATGATTGCAGAAAGAAACAAAGCAACAGGCAACACCATATGCCTTGAACGGGAAGTCGCAGCACTCATATCCTCACGACACCAAGAGAAAACTGTATTATCAATTGGTCTTCTTTATTTTATCGAATTCTTTGCCTTTTAAACCAACCTCCCCTCAACATATCAACTAGTTCCTATAAACGATTACTATTATCAAAGATCAAATAAGCTGAGCATATATTCCTCTCCTACCAACACTCATACTAATATAGTTCTAAAATTTATTTAAACTCAAACTTCTTATAAAAAAAACCATTTAAAGTTTTAAAACTCGTCCTTTTATTTTATCTCTTTACATCCATACTAGAGTGCAGCAAAATCCACCACCGCATGAGTTCAATTAGCTTTCTTTCCTTTACTTTTTATTAATTTTGCTCACAGTTTGTAAAAAACAAGTAACATTCGCAGCTCAAGAATACATTGAACACAAATTTGCGAAGTGATAGGCATAGAAGAACGAAACTGAGGAGACCTACCTCCGGTCGACGAGACTCAATTCGGTCGGAATCGTCGGCATCATCGAAGTAATCATCGGCTTCATCATCGTATTCGCTGTAGTAATCCATAGGAGCATCCTCTGTCTCGCCACTGTAGAAATCGTCATCAAGGGACTCGACATCGTTGGCGTCGTGCATATCATCCTCAGAATCCATGGGAGGAACCCTAGAGTAAGGGTATAGGTACAAATTCGGGCACGATCGAAGAAACGAAGAGATTGAAAAGGCGGTGAGGTAGGGTGGAGAAAATCTAGGGCTTAGCAACAAGATTAGGAATCGGAAAAAGAATAAGAACACTAAGAACAAGAAAAGTGTGTTGCTTTATGGTTTTCCCTTCGATCTTTTTCTCCTCCTAACTAACGAGAGGTTTGGAAATTGGAAGAATAATAATAGGAAAAAATGTTTCTCCCTACAAAAGTTATTTCACACACACTCACGTAAAAATGAATATTTCTCGTTATAAAGAGAAAAAAAAATCATTTTTAAGTGAACATAATCGATATTTTTTTATAACAAAAACAAAAATATTAATAATAATAATAGATTTATTTATCTATGTAATAATGAGAATTATATCTCTCATGTTGTAAGAACAAATTTTGTTGTCATGTTAAAAAAAAAAAAAACAAAGTATATATAGTATTAAAAAAAGTGACGCAACACTTTATTCAATAAATTAATCTTGTCCTTTTTTAACTTAATAAAAAATTTGATTCCTACGATATAATGAATGCATTTCCCTATAATAATATAGAAGCTAGAGAGAGATTGCAGGTGGAAGAGTAATTAATACACACAAACTGAAGGAGATGAAGTTAGATTTAAAAGTGAGTTCAATTAATTAAGGTAGTTGACATACATTTGATTTGGCTTAAATAAAATTTTGGATTCAAATTTTTGTGAATACAAAAAAAAATTATGAGAAAGCTAACTTCATGATATGATATTTTTAACTCGAACTAAATTACATCGGTGGAAAACGCAGCTCAATTAAGATCTTTTACTAAAAACACATCAACGTTAACAAAGGAACTCAACTAAAAAATTTACACCCTAAAGTGAGCTTATCATGAAGGGTATGAAATCTATCTATCATTAATTTAATTTAAATGATTTTTTTTTTTATTTCTTCAGCTGTTTATATAAAAATTGACTAAGCCAGTTTAAGCTTAGTCAGAAGCGCATAAAATGATTATTATATCTAAAATAAAAAAAAATGAATTTAAAATCTCATAATAATAGAAATAATAGTGTCAAATGTTAAGATTTTCTTATTATAAAAAAGAAGAAAAGAGAGTGTGAACATAAAAACTTATTAAAACGTAATATACTCTATACCATCCAATATCAATCAAATTAATTAAATTTTCATTTGTTTGCACAACGAAATTGGCTTTGTGATGATTCCAACTCCAAATCAAAAATCTTTATCTAATAATGAGAATATTGCCAAATCATTCCTTCGACATGTAGTTATATCGTGAGAATAACACTACACATCTTTTTGGACAAAAATACATTTAGGTGGTGTTTGGTTGGGAGCTTTTCAGCGGATATCTATCTTTCTCAAGTATGGCTTTTAGAAACATCATGTTTGTTTCAACGTTTTTCACCAAAAACTCATCTATCCAATTTGTCTGGATTTATGAGAAACATAGATATTCGCATTGTTTATAAACCCAATTTGAAGATGGGATTTTTCGGAAAATCGGTTATCTGACTTTTAATGCACTGTTGATTTCATAAAGCTACCTAATTTTCCCAGTAAAAATTTTCCCCACCAAACAACTTTTTTTTATATTTTTCTACCTATCTCACTTTATCTATCTTTCCAATCATTTCTCTATCTATCTCATTTCCTTACTATTTCAAAAAAATTTCCTGAACCAAACGCCACCTAAATTCGTTTGTACTTGTCTTAGTCACTCGAATCTTAATAAAATATAACAAAATAAAAAGAGGATCAATTATATATAATTAATCAGGGTACATATAAAAATTATTTTTTATTTTGTTATTATAATTTGGTTTTGACTAGTATTTTTTGGCAAAAAATTTTAAATATTATTTTTTTAATAAAAAATTACAGAAATATAGTCGTTTTAAACTATTGACTTCCAAAGTTTTACGAGTAAATTGTTGACTTTTGTGTCACGTATCAGCATATGGTAAAACATTTTTCCTTGAGGTGTGTCTCTCTCCTAAAACACGTCTCATGTGGAGCGTGTCTCTCTGCATCAGATTATGTTCCCGTGGGACATGTTTGAATGCTATACATTTGTAAATACATTCAAAATGACTACATTTTCATAATTTTTTATTAAAAAAATAATATTTAAATTTTTTCCTTTTTTATCAAACTCCTGTTGCGTAGCTAAATTTTCTCTGCGGAAAAGTCAAACGATTGGGAAAAAATAAATAAAACTTTACCCACAGGGCAGAAAGGTAGTGATAAAACAAGCGAGGGTTAAGGGAAGCGATTGTCCTCTTTCAAATTTATACAGACCAGTATATTTAAGTATTATTTCTGATGTCCACCAAAATAAAATAAAATAAATATTATTTCTGATTTTTTTTATCCTGTAATTAATGACCACCCTCCCGAGTTAAATTCAATCTTGAAGTTGAAGATTCAACTGGGATAAATTCGTTTCATGCAGTTTACCCAAAAAAAAAAAAAAAAATCGTTTGATGCAAGAATCAGAACAAAAGCAGTAGTTATATGTTGACGCTTTCCATTATTTTTAAAGCATATAATATATGTCCACTTGTGATAACACTATGCAGCTTCTGATTAACTTATGGGATTCATCACAACCCATATGCTCTTGCACTTAATGCTCCTGAATTGCTTGATGCTTTCTCGGCTTCATTTCTTTTGTTTTTGTTCTCACTTTATTTTTATTCTTGTTAAGGATAAGTTATCAAAAGCATTAGTGGAATATTATATTAGATACAGAATTTGAGATGTAATTTAGGATTGAGTTAAGGACTTGAATTCCTGTCATGACATCCAAAAGCCAAACAAGCGTGGTAAGTTAACAACGCTTTGTATGCCATATGAATATCTTTTTGACTTTCTTAATTATAAGATTGCAATAGAAAGATGTTGATGTATCTGCTTTATCAGACCTTCTGATTTTCCTCTCGCTAATGCTCTTTACCATTATGTTTTCTGATCTTCTTGTCTGAAATTGTATTTCATTTAGTTTCGGAGTATGTCAGATACATCAGACAGAATTACAATTGCAAATGCAAATGTATGTTTTTTTTTACCATACTGGTGAAAACGAAAATTTTATTTTCTTGCTAAGCGTAGGTGCAAAATTTTATATCTCGAAGGTGCAAATATTTAACGGGTTAATTTTTTCTACAATTACTTTAGATAATTTATCTCCAGCGCCATAGGTGTTCGTGGTCTAGATTGGATCGATTTTGAAAGGAAAAATCATCTAATCCAATTCATTCGGTTGGATCATATAATCATCTATTCACTTTGGATTTTTTTCAAATCCAATCCAATTTTATTCAGTTTGGATTGGATCGATTTTTTGAAAAGCCTAAAATTTGTACGATGATCATTATGCAAATAATATATATTTTATATATATTGACTTTGTAGAGTTGGTATGATGATTATTGTGCAATCTAGATGCATCAGTAAATGATAATTTAATTTTCAATATAGTACAACAAAAATTTGAATTACCATTTTTTACCTCCAACAAAAAAAATTACAATGTGATTGCCTAAGATATAAATTAACCCAAATTTTTATCCTATAGAAGAGCTGTTGCACAATAATAATCCATGCAATAAAAATATATGATGTATCTTACAAAAAAAACATAACATAGATCAATCATAATCAACTTTCTCCAACATGATTGGTTAATGGGGTCTTGGGTTTAGAATTTGTCATATGATTTTTGGGCTATGATTAGAAAAAGATCAAAGTAAGTAGAAGGTAAGGTTAAGGAATTATTGGATCGATTTTCACCACTCAAACCAAAAATCGATCAAATCCAATTAAATTTTACAGATTTTTTTCGATTTTCAATATATTTTGGTTTTTGGTTATCAGTTTTCCAGTTCGGTCACCGCCATTTTAATCGGTTGATAAACACCCCTATGCAACGCAAGATTTTAAATATGTCTTACCGGTAAAATATAATAATAAGAAGAAAATTATTATTATTTTCTCCTCAGACATTATCAGTTAATGTGGCGGAGAGAAAAAAAATAATTTTATCATTACAAGTATATCTTACTCATAAGATCTAGTTAAAATCATGCTCTGCATAGAATGTTATCTAAAAGTAATTTTAGAAATTTTTTCACATATTTATCTCGATAATAAAAAGTGGGAGTGATTCAAATTCCCAACTTACAATTTTGGAACATATCTTCGATGTCTCATAAGTACGTATTCCTTTATTAAAACTAGAAAGAAAAAATTACTCAAGTGTCAATAACTATAAAGTGGTGGAAGAAAAAAATAAAGTTAAATATATTATTTTTTTCTAATTTTAGTAAAAACATACCGAGTTTTCACTACCCCTTACCCCTATATTTTCACAATTTTGATTTATCACCCACCCTTAAATCATGAGAGATAACCATGTCTCACATAAGTTGTGGGCTCTATCAACTTACAATATGCATGTAACTTTTATTTCACATAAAAATCTATTTTTTTATTTTCAAAATTTCAACTAATAAAAAATAAATTAAGATTAAAAGGACAACGGTAACGAACTTCAATTCTCAGAAAATGCAAAGCGGGGTTAATTTAAGGAAAAATCCAGCTCTACCCACCTCATTGTTAAATCTACCCAACTCGTAAATCATCAACTTCTACTGTTTTATACCTAGTTTCCAGTTTGTAAGTAGTATTTTCAATTACTAATTTTAAGAGTTAAATAAATTGATAATTAGTTCGCTAATTAAAGAAGTTGGTTTGGTTCGATTTTAGTTCACCAAAAACTTGAATCCCATATGCATAATTATAAATAATTTATTTACTAAATAAATATTTAGTGCAAATTTTGATTAATATATTTTATTTAAAGAAAATTTTATAGTTAAAGTATTACGAATATTTTGATAAGATATCTGCATTTATTTCCAAAACAACGTCGTTTTGTAATTGAAAGATTAAAAAATTATAATTATAAAGACTATAATAACCCTGAAATAAATTAAAATTACAAAAACACCAAGATTTTCGCCCAAAACGACGTCGTTTTAGGTTTACTGCATATAACTTATCTGCAGTAACTGCAGAAAAAGCGAACCTTTTATAAAATCATAAAATACAACAAAGACAATCATATTTGAAATTTATAATTGTATAATTTATATT